GGGGGTTAGGGGAAAAAATTTTTAAAATTTTTTTTAAAAAAGGAACTTGGGTTTTAAATTGTTTGTTTTTTTTTTTTTTTTTTTTTTTTTTTTTTTTTACTTTTTAAGATGACAAGGGAAGCGGATTACATTGTGTAGTTGTGCAGCTGAACTCCAGCCGTGCAGGACAGCTTTCGAGATACCAGGGACTAATCTGGATACGCTCAGGAATGTGACAAGTGACAGACGTTCTGCTTCACAGAAACTATCTGCCTGTATTGTATAAATTGGGATTCGAGGGCATCCCACAGTGTTGGTATGTTGAGGAATGCCAAGTCAAGCTGCCATGCTGTTTGCTTCGTGTACAGCAACAGAAAGGGAACTGAAATGAGATGATCAGAGAGGATGGCTACAGTTAGCATCTTTTTACAACGAATGGGGAAATGTTCATCTGTAATATAAACCTGTTGGTGAAATAATGTTCTAGCTTAGAATCAGAAGCATTGATGTAGAGATGAGCACCCAGAAATGGCATTACTGCTAAATGCAGGAACAATAAATGAAAGCAAATAATGCAATATGTGCTAACACATGTTGAATTGTCCTCTTTCTTGTAATTCTCTGTTGAAATGTGGATGTCTTTGCTAAAACAACGTGAGCAGAGTTGTTTTTCCTTCATGTCTAACCTCTCACACAGATCTGCTCCGGCTAAAATCTCCTCCTAAAATAAGAAAAGACTTGTTCTTTGCGTTTCCATGTTGACTGATTCCTAAACCATAAGAGCATTGCTGCAGATGCATAGCACCAATCCAATAAGCTTCTTTATTAAATGCAGTATTGCAGTCCGCTCCACTCGACTGAGTCACAAAAGACAAATAGAGATATTCAGACAGGAAGTCAAAGAATAAAAGTAATCTCGTATAGCAGTTTATTAGATGATCATGTTGGTGGTCCTGTATTGTTGTGGCTCCCGGACGCCCTAAAGCTTCACTTTGTTAGACAAGATTAAAAATGTAAGGCCAGTGTTGTCTCATCACCAAGGCAACTTCTGTTTTATTAAAAGAAGTTTATGACGGTGTTAAATTTCCCCAGTTGAAGCAAGCGTTTGTTTTTGAGAGTTTATTACTTCAACATACTTTATTTTTAAAAAGTTTTTTTATATTTTGTCTGTGTGAAGCACTGGTGTGGTCCAGTTTTTAGGCTCATTACCTCAAACTTATAGTAAGAAAGCACTTCTGTCCCTAGATTTAGAGCTGCGCGATGTATCGCAAATCTACTATCATTGCAATATCACTGTATTAAATTGTCGAGGGCTGATTGGGAGTGAAATAACTCTGGGCTAATAAATATATTGTGTATTTTGTTTTTCTTTGTCTTTAACTTCAGTGGTGATGAGCTCCACAGAAATTTAACCTACTTCTTCTGCATTCTAGTATTTGTAATTTAAAACCTTATTTTTTGATGACCCAAATACAGTTCAATCCCATAATTTTGTTTAAAAATCAGAAGCGTGGCATGCATTTCTGTCTGCATAAACTCCTCTTTATTGTTCAAATGCTTGTTGCGTTCTAATAGATCTGTGTTGTCGCTCTGTCGGGGCCATGCACAAAGTCTTGTGCTGGAATAAAAGCCAGTCATGCAGAAAGTTGATGTGAAATCAGCAGGGCAGATCAAATCATGTCAGCCTGATCGAGCTTCACTGTAGAGTGTGGGACAAAAGGGGAACAGAGAACATGAGAGCACATTACACACAGCAAAGTGTTTGTGGTCACGCAGAAATTAAATAAGACTCCAGAATAACATCAGGTTAATGTCACAGTTTTAACTCTTTCAGACCAGAAAGCTATTTTTTATAAATATTGTTTTTTTTGTTTTTTGTTTGTTTGTTTATTTACTTTTTTATGTTGGGTCTTGATAAAATTATAAATGATCAGAACTGCATGAAGGTGAGGGAGGTTAAAAAAACTCAGCAGCAAATTAACATTTTGGGATCACTTGTTCTTTACGATCATTTTAAAGCTTTGTTTTGTAGAGAAGGCATCAATAATTTTGGTGGGTGCTTGATTATTGTAAAAATACCAGATTCCTTCTGTGAAGGCTATTTTAGCTCAGTTATTCGAATTCAAAAATAATTTATTGATCCCAAAGGGAAATTAACGTTTTACGTTAAAAAATACATTAAACAGATATGCTCCAAGTCCCAAAAATATAGCAAGGGATCTAAAAAAATATCGGTATAGTTTTGACTGGAGCATCACAGTTCCCCAGGTGTCCTCTGTTTTTATCCAGAGGGATGCTGTGGTGGGGGGGAACCAGAGAACTTCGTCCTCTACGGGCCCAGGTCGGCTGTCCCAGGTGTTTCCAGTTGTGATTAAGGATCATGGGAACGTCCGTTCTCATGATTAGTTTTGTGCCAACAGAGACCTTGGCAGCTTTCTGTAATAAAAACTGATTTTCTTATCATAAGACGGCCTTTCTTTGGAATGTAATGTAGGTATGCTGTCTTTTTTGTTGTTGTTTTTTTTAAGCTTCTTTTTGGAAATAATTGCAAAATGTTCTTCCTAGAATGGATTTTTCTACAAAATTATTTTTGGTAAGCAGGACCATGCAGCTTTATGATTATAAAAGGTATGAAAATAGCCTACAGAGTTAAATTTACCTGTTTTGTGTGACAATTTATGGGATATCTTCAAACAAAAAACTGCTTCTTTGCAAATAGGTCGTAGTCCTTTTGTTTCCTTTTTTCCTATGAAACAGTCACGGCATTTAACCACAGGTGTTCTCTCATTACCGTATCTGAAAGCTGAAGTGAGAGGAAAATATGTATGTATTTATTCATTTATTACAATGAGATAAAAACATGATTAAACACGGATTAAGATTGTTCCAGAAAACCTTTAGATCTTTTATGTTGTAAGATTTTTAATCACGGTACTTGAAAAAATGTGTACATTTTTTGTTGTAACAGTAATTCAGTCCACTCAGACACAGTTTTGGTATTGGGAGCAAAAAAAGCAGGCTAGTCAGGCTGTGTCACCTGGGTGTTTCCTCAGCTGTCTGAGGTGATGGTGATCTGATCCTTGACCCTCAGCAGAGATGTGTTCACGCAGTGACTTTATCTCGACACTGCAGTCAGGGTTGTCCCCATAAACGTGCAATCGTGATAGGATTATAAATTAATTTGGCGGATTTCCGAATTCACTCTGAGTGCTCAGAGTGAAATGACGGGCTTTTATCCTGCTGGTAGAAAAGAGGTTACTGAAAGGTTACTGTATTATACACATTATGTATTGTAAATAGATATGTCTGCCCTGCATGCCGGTGTCTTATCTCTTAACCCTCACCTGAGTTTTTTTTTTTTTTTTCTTTTTACATCCGAAGATGTGGTCCATTTAAAGTTTTTCATGGTACAAAGTGCAAGAGTGACGAGGACAGCAATTAGACATGGCAGCATGTGAAGTTATTAAAAGTTATTCAATTATAATGAGCAGAGCGTAGAAGGGAATACTCTCAGCAGAGGTCTGTTATCAGACTGACTTCAGGTTCTAATCAGAAGAAAGTTAATAATTTAAAGCCTTGTAATACCTCTGGAAAGTTTAGTTTTCTCTGTGTACATCTGTGTGTTTACTATGGCAGAATTTATAAATTTTTTCCCATTAATCATTCAGACATTTTTGTGGTTGATCTCCAATCGTAGAGTTTGGTGCAACTCTGACCTGCAAATTTACTGTCGAATCTATAAATGAATAAATTTATAGATTAAATTGAAAATGTAACCTGATTCAACAGCGTTTTTATAAGGTGATAAAATGAAACTATTTTTCAACACAGTTGTCACTTTCTGTATCGCAATAAAGTTTTCCACATTAGATGGATAAATGTCTCTATGTAGTTAAAACCCAGCCTTGGAGAACTACAATGTCTTATTTACTTCTTAATATGAAACCTTTGCTTTTTTTCATACCTGAAAATGTCATGTGCTTCATATCAAAGGATATTCAGTATGTGTCCATTGAATATATTGAAAAGTAAGTAGAAGCTGTATCCGCCTTTCCATTTTGAGAGAAAGAAAACACTCATAAAATATTGCTTTATCATAACACATGAATCTTAAGGAAGCATACTGCCATGAATGATATCTACTTGCATTGGGACTAGAATCAGAATCTAAAATACCAGATTCCACATCGAGTGTGAAATTGGAAGATTCCAGTGACCGGCTGAATTCTTGGGGTACCTTCAGTAGCATTTGTAAGATAAATTACCGTCCTCTACATAAAGGACTGATTATGTGTGGAATTTTTTTCTGTTTGTCAATATATAGTGGGAGCTGCTGTGGTCTCTCGTCCTCCTTTTCACCTTCTCTCTGCTGCTCATCTGGTCCTACTTCTGGTGGGAGGCAGACAACGACTACAATGAATTCAACTGGTGAGTACTGTGTCGACACAGCGACTGCCGCTCCATGTTTACTAGGCTCAACTTGAAGCCACGAGGCGGCCAGCATATTGCCGTGACTGCGCACATGCTGGTCATACTTGTTGATTTCCTAAATCAGGAGTTTAATCTCTCCTCATCCTTAATCTGAGCAGAGACCACCCAGGCCTCCGTAGATTACAACATTACATAAGAGAGACGGCTCATCCAACATTTTCTGTACTGTAAATCACTCGGGCCCCACTTTCTCTTGAACAAGCACAAGTTTATAGGATGATATGCATGCTAGTTTGTGCTTGTAACACAACAAAAGCAGCTTTATACTGTTTTTAGTAGGTAAAATCCATATATTAATAAATCTTCATGTTCATAAAGTTACTGGAAGATTAGAAACCAAAGAAACGGGACAGATTCATTCAACTCCAGGCAGACTGTTAAAAATATATACTGATTTGTCACATGTAGGGTGTATATATTTTGTTTTATAACTACACATGGTTACTATTATTAGATATTTGACATGGTGGTGGATAATGGTTTCTGCTCCTACCTCCTTTCCCGTCCCCCATGCTTCCACTCTCAGGGACATCTGCAAAGTCACTTTCTAATAATGTCCTTTCTCTGTATTGCATTCTTGAGTATGTATGACACCTCAGTGTTGTAGTTGAATAATTATCTCACTACTTACCCTGTTACCTTTTGCTTTGTCTTATTTATTTTTTCCTGTTTCTTGTTTCTGAGTTTCCTAAATTAATGCCAAGTGCACTTTCAACAGCAGTAACTAGTTTGTTTACTGATATTTATGTCTCTCTGTCTTTTTTCCCCTTTTTATTAGCAATGTTACTTTCTTTTCCCTCTGCAGATAAGTAGAGCAATAACATCTCTGCTTCCTTATTATATGTTCTGTTGTGATGTAGCTGCAGGGAGACTCAGAGCCCATCTGCAGAACAAATGCATTCACAAGAGACCTTGTTCCTCTTAAATCACTGATAAGGCTTTACTTGTGATTAATACTTCTAGCTGATGTGGCAGAACTCCTGCCTATGTCTTTTTTTCTGCAGCTTTGTGTGTATTTATATAGTGTCACAAAATGGATGAGCAAAATGTGTTTATCCTGTATGTATTTTTGTGTGTGTGAATCAGGAGGGATGGATAAAAACATTATTCATAGTCTAGTGATGCATTTTTTGTTCCCTAATTAAAGCTTAAAAAGTGACAAAAAAAATAGTTGTCAATTTTCCATGAAATTAATAATAACTATGATTAAGCCATGGCCTCCTGAGTGTTATAATTTGCTTGTCAAAGTCTTAAAGGAACCAGTACTCCCTCTAAAATGAGTCACCGTGAGTTTTTTGGTCTTTTTAGCACTACTTAAAATACATATAACTCTGTGATGGTATCCACTCAGTCTCTAAAATCTTGTTGAAATCTTACTATTATTGAAAGTAATTGTTGCTACTTTCTTTGAGTCTAGGTTTATTTAAAGTGTGGCAGCCATGCCTGAAGTAGAAAAGTAATCATGAACCATTTAGGACTGATGATTTAATTAAAAAGAATTAAGAACTAAGAATTGCCTCTCTTTTCTTGAGCTGTAGTTTAAATATGACATCTCTGGTTGTACAGTATTACGGTGCATTAGTTGACATGTCATGGGAAATATTTATATCTGCAAACATGTCAATAAGGCTAAGTGTTATCATCGCCACTAATACTAACCATATAGTATATAGCTTGTTTTCCTGACATTGTGCAGGTCTAGTCAATTAGTCCATCCAGCCATAAGAATGAATGAATTGATGAATGGACATCAATCATTGGATTACATTGAATACAACCAAACCTTGTATTTTTTATGGCTTTTATTGCTTCTTTGTGGTTTATGAATAATCATTAGAAGAAACATTATGAAATCTCTTGTTTCTGCAGGTTCCTGTACAATAACTCTGGGGAGTGGACTGATGGAACCGTTCCCATCCTAGCAACAACTGCTGCTGGATTCACCTACATTGCATTTTTAATGGTCAGTATGCTCTCACAGAGAATGCTTTGAACTCATCATAAGGCCCAGCTTGGCACATTGAGATTACTGCATAATACTGATTTCTAAACTGTACTTTGTGTGGGTGTCTTGTTTTTGCACTTTTCAGGTTTTAGCACTTTGCCATGTTGCACTTGGGCAACAGTTGAATTTGCACTGGCTTCATAAGGTAACGTGCCAACAAAGTGAGATTGTGTGTGTTTGTGTAACTGTGAGGTGTAAGGGGGTGGATGAATTTTGCATATGTTTATCTGAGTTGTAACTAGCGTAGGCTTGTGTTTTTTGTCTTGTTTTTGCAAATGTTTTCATTTATTGCTGGTCAGTTCAATTCATCCTGAACTTAAAACCTTCAGGCTGTTAACTAGATAAAGACTACTAACTAAATAAAGTTGCCAGACACTATGCGACCATAAAATGTATATAGGGTTATTCTGTAATTTTACTAATAATTATGTTTTTTCTTCTTTGTTTATTTCTCCTCTCTCTGCACAGATAGGAGTAACTGCTTCTTTACTCACCACTATTGTTGGGATAATATCAGTTAATCAAACATGGACACAAGAGTGGGATATCATCCCCATCTCCTTGCAGGTCAGACACAAAATTCCCAAAGTCCTTGTTAATGATTAACGTAGAAGAACTGATAAGTTTTAGTAGAGGCAGTTTTATGATGCAAAGTCTAGGGATGGTAATTCTTTTATGTATGCAGCATTGCAATTAGTAGAGTAATATATAATATGTAACATTTAATGCATGTCAAAGTGATCCACATGTTTCTCTTTTTAATATTTATCAAATTAATAAAAATCTGACAGGCTTACTGTTGAAACCATAAGTTTATATACACCCAAATAAAAAAGAAACATTTGTCTCTCTTTCTCTGAAATTAAATCAGAACAAATGTCTCTCGTTTTAGGTGGATTAGAATTGAGAACTGAGGAAATGTATGCAAACGTCTGATTTTCAAGACATTTCTAAAAACATATTTGCCATATTCTCCCTGTCATTGTTGTGAAATTTAGCAAACAAGAATAATTTTGTGTAATTCTAACTGACCTAAAACAAGAGAAATTAGATCTGATTTAAACTTCATACAGTATGGGGGGGAAAAAAAAGGTGCTTAAGTCTTTTTTTTTTAATGTATACAAACTTTTGCTTTAAACTGCATTGGTATATCCATGTCAGATTATGTACTACAAGTAACGTTTGAAGTGGCTGCAAATACTCCTTACTAACTGTGGTCTTTTAAAATTGAATGTCTTTCCAAATAATAGGTTCTAGCGTTGCCAGACTGTGTCACTGGTGTCTTGGCTCAAGATAATGACTGTTATTTTGTGCCTGTGTATCTCCTTTGACTTTATTTCTTGTCCTTCTCTCTCTTACTTGTTTTGCCTCCATTTGTCTGTATCCTGTGTTCCATCCAGGCTACAGGTCCGTTCCTGCACGTAGGGGCTCTTGCTGCAGCCACAGCCTTGTCATGGATTGTTGCAGGACAAGTTGCCCGTGCAGAAAAAACGAGTATGTTTATGATTCAAGTTACAGCACCTTCCAAATGTAAAAATGTGAGTCATTCAGTTCTGTAGCACAAAATCCTTAAATCATGAAAATCAGTCTAATTTAAATACCTTTTGTGAAGTGGCTAAGATTAATGAATCACTTTTAGTGCTGCCGAGTGTGTAGCAGCTAGCCGATGTCTACTTTAAGTTAAGAACTTTGAGAAACTGCTACTTGGTTGTAATCGCTACAAGAAAATACATATTCACCTAAACCTGCATATATCTACAGTCAGAGCAGTAATTAAAACTTGTTTTTAACAATTGTCTGAGATCATGTCACAAGATCTCTTTATTGAGAATCTTTTTACATATTTTTACCAGAGCTGTCAGTATTTGTAGAGTTGCAATGTGTTTTAATGTAATGAAGTGATATGACAGTCTGAGTGCCTCTCACACACACACATTCACAAAGGCTGGTGAATGATTAATTAGGTGTAGACAGAGGCCAGGCCCTTCATCCATGGTGTGTGTGTGATAAACATTCCTCCATGGTGTGTGTGATAAACATTCCCCCAACCTCTTTTTCTCCCCAGAGATGGAGGTTGTTTTGTCCTTGAGTCTAGAACTCGTTTTGAAGACTTGCAGCTCTGACAGTTTATTCCTAGCCTTGTTGACATTGGTGCCCTTAGCATAAACTTGCTGCTATTGCTGCTGAGATTTAGTGTAGTCTATGTAGCGACTTCCTAACTGATCGCCAAGTAGTATTGGAGGAAAACTTTCAACTTTAGTTTGCAACTTCCACCCATCAGTGGTTGTATGTTATCTATTTTGAGATGATTTCTTTTAACTCCATAACATTCTTAGCTTTTATGGACTAATGATACATTTCACATCCATCAAATAGAAAGCACCCATAATGAAAACAGCAGGTCATCTGAACGGTACAAGATTTAAAAAAGCGACTCCCAATCAAATCCCAAGGAAAAAAAAAAAAAAAAAAAAAAATTTTAACAAAAACTAAAATTTTTTTTTGGGACTGGGGGCAAAATTTTTGGTTCCACA